GATGGGCAGGAGCTCCAGGCTGCAGTGGCAGCAGCACCACAGGCAAAAGGGGCTGCAGAGAATCCTCCTGACTGCCAGCCTACATGAGCGATGGGAGGGAAGAGAAGGATGTGTGCCACACAGACAGAGCACCACAGGGAGACCTCAGGCCCTCTGTGTCCCTCTCACAGCCCAGACCTCTCCTTTGACATCACTTTGGCTTCCTGCTCCTGATTAGAGAAAAGCAAAGCCTCAGGACCTTTGAGCTTCATAATCCACTTTGCAAGTGAGGCACAGAGAGTGACAGACATGACCTGGAATGCTCTGTATCTGCTCCTGCTCTGCCCTGCCAAAGCAAAGGCCCCATTCCTCACCTCATCCCTGCCCCGCTCCACCACATCTGTCCTAGAGTGATCATTCAGTGCTCAACTACTGGTGAAAAGGAAGAACTCATAGCACTTTTTAGTAAAACATTTTTATAGCAAGCTTGTCAGTACTATATCAACTATTCTCACACACAGCAGGTGCACAGTAACCACTGCACCTGACATTGCACAGCATCACTGGCTGAGGCTGCCAAAAAACAATAAAACACATTAAGAAGAACTCTATTTCCCCTGTCACTTACATGACAGATCTCCCTAATTGACTACTCTGCTGTCAGGGAAAATTAAGGAATGAGAGAGAAATGGGCCTTCTTTGTTATTAGTACCTCTCTTGCTTCCTAATCTATCAGGTTAATTTTGTGTTAATGAAAGTGAGGATTAAAAGCCCAGGTTGCTGGGAGGGTGGGGACAGGGAGTGAAGCTCCATGAGGAGCTCAGACATGCTGGAGCACAGCTGGGCTGGGAGAGCTGCTGCTGCAGACAGCAGTGCAGAGAAATGCCTTTCTGACACTTAATGTTCCTATTCTGATCCTTTAAATAACCTCTTCTCTGATGACCAAATATTCTGATCTTTAATGTGATTAAACAGATTATATCCATGTGTGTGGGTGATGAATGATGACCAAACCTTTTTCAAATAAAAAGATTAACTGAGTTTTAGTAGGTAATTGCTATAGAGTGAAAAAGGCTAAATTATTCGGATTATGCCAGCCTGTAAAATAATCCAAGGAAAAGACTAAAAAATGTGACTTATGCCAAAAACTTCTGAAAAATAACAAAAACTGATAGGGGCTAAAAGCTACTGCATGTCCCTTTTGAATGTTTGCTTAGACACATTGTGTAAAATAGTGCATTGTTTACCAAGAATAGGATCAGTTCTATAATGACATCTTCTGTTTGTGCCATTGGTACTTGTTATAAGATAGACAAAAAATGAGTTTTGTTTAACCTCAGGTTTTGTCATAGAAATTTTAGCAAAATCTTTTATGTTCGCTGTCTCTTTCCAAGAGCAATTCTCCGGTAGATTTTAAGCAGCTTAAGAATGATGAACGATCTCATCCCGAGTAAGGGACACAGGCGGGGGAAGGATGCCGTGTGCGGGCAGCAGGCGGAGCTGCAGTGACAGGGACAGCCCGACCGGCCCCGCGACACTCGGGACAGCAGAAACCCGAGAGACACAACTGTAATAACAGCAACAATAACAGCAATAATCTGGAAAGAGGTGACAATAGAGGAGGTGACCATCACTGCCCCAGCCCTGCACAGGTGACACGGGTGGGCGCCGATTACACCCAGCCCGGGCAGGGGCTGGAGCTGCCACTCTCACCTTCAGCAAAAGAGACCATTTCTGGTTTGTGTTCCCGTCACAAACATGAGATTTCTGAAACATCTGTTCTCCCCTACCAAGCAGCTGCGAGGCTTTGTTTGTACTGGGTGCAGAGAAGAGAAGGGAAGGCACCAACACGGGTGGAGAGAAGGGAAGTCCCAGCCCAGCCCCACAGTGTCAATCTGGGAGCTCGGCTGTGCTCACAGAGCTGCCCCAGGATTTACCGAGGCATTCATGAAAGCTGAATTTGGCCCAGAATTCAGGAAAAAGGGCTTTCAGCATGTGCTTCCCCAAAGAATCAAGGCTGCCAGGCTCTTTTCAGCCCAAGAGGCCGAGCCTGTGCCCTCACTGACCATGGCAGGGGTTTCCTGGCTCCTGCCCACACCACGGCAGGAGTGGGGAGCAAGGGAGCCTCCCTGCCTTGGTGCTGGTGTCCAGGCACCAGAGAGTGCTCCCGCTGCTCCCGGGCAACTCATCCCTCAGAAACACCACTGTGCTTGCCTCAGAGGAGACAAAAGACACAACTGCTGCTTCCAGGGGCTTAACAAAAAAAAAGCAACAGCACTCACCCCTTCAGGTTGTATTAAAGTGACCCAGAGCAAGTTCTCCTGCTTCTTGTGAGCCCACTGTCACGGCTCGCTCTCTCAGCACACACCCTGCTCCTGCAAGGACAGATTTCCTCCCTCCATCACCCAGACTGTGCCAGGGACCCAGGAGAAAAGCCCTTCAATTTGGATGGGCCTGCTCATCACCATCCCCTGTGGGTACATGGCAGCATCTGTGCCCCCTCTGGGGTCACCCCGTGGCTCACAGGAGCTCCCATGTGCCCACTCCTAGTATGGCACTGCCTGGAACAAAGCAGGATCCCACTGTCCCCCAAAAAGCACACACCTCAAAATTAAAATCTCGGTTACAGGGTGTTAATCAATGCTGCCCACCTCACTGTCCATGAAAGGAATCAGCAGCTCAGCACCCACAGCACCTTCACCCCAATGGTCACAGCCAGGTCACAGCCATTCCCACCAGAGTGAGTCCTTCATACCAAGCTCGACATACACCAAAGGTAAAAATCCCACTGCATTTCCCTTCATCCAGTGCTGTGATGTTGTCATTATACCACAAGAGTTCTATTGTCATTACATTGCAAGGGCTCCATATTGCTAGAGTTTCATACCTCCTTGATGTTTTCTGCAGGCAGCTCCTCTAGGCACTGACTCCAGTTCCCTTTAGCCAACCAACCCACTCTTTTAAAACATTCTTCTTTATTGGCTACAGCTGCAGCCTGTTACCATCAGGTCTCCTCCAATCCTTAGTAATTGGCTCAGCTGCAACTCTTTAGGGGGTCAGATTACATTCTACACCACCTTTATTTACTTATTTTCAATCCCCCTACATTGTGATGCGATGATCCTCTCAGCATAACTTGTCAAACTCCCTCCTCAGTTTCCCACCAAGGCTGTTTTCCCCTGTGTGCTTTGCTGGGACAGCACAGGGGATGGGCAGCCCTGGCTGAGCTCTCTGCCAGCCCCACACACCTCAGGCACCCATTCTCCCTGGCTCCTTATCAGGAAGCTCCTCTCTCTCAGGGTGCTTGGGACACTGATCTCCAGCACACCCTGCCAACCCATGCTCCTTGTTAGACTTTTTTAAAATCCTGTAAGAAATGGCACAGTGTGCAAGGAAGTATAAAATAGAGGCTGCAGAGATATGAACACTCTGGAAAATGGGAATCTTTGCCTTCCACTACTGAGTCTGTCCATGGAGAAATGTGCCCTCTGACCCAACACACCCTGCACACCTGCCTGTGTAACACTGAATTTGTACTGGATATATCCTGTGCTTAAAATACACAGATTTTACATGCTCACTGTTAGAAGCAGTATTTTCAGAGCCATTTTCCTTTGACTCAAAGCCCTTTTCCATGATCTGTTACAGGCACGGTGAAACTTGTCCCATTTCTTTTCCCAATGATGAAGCACTTCCCCCAGGCTAGATACTGACCTTCTGCCTCTTTCTTTTAGGTAAAATAAGATTATGCTAAATAGTCACACTCAAATACCTTTGGCACGAGGGAGTAGAGAGAAGGCCATGAAATCTCTCTTTAAAGCTGTTTCTCCCAGGAATCCCACTTCTGCCTTGATTCCCAGTTCATGATTATCCCATCCATAATTGTGAAAACCTGGGGGATGTTTGTAAGTGTCCAGTGAATGAAATGTCCTGTAGGTTTTGATCCCCAAACCCAAATTGAAGGGTTCATGAGCATTACTTGGCAGGGCAGAACCAGCTAGGAGGGCCCAGAGCAGGGACTTCCCTATATCCCCTCCAGAATTCAGATATATTTAAGGGAGAAAATCCCTCTTTGTGGTACTGTTTGGAAGGTAAGTATCCTCAGGTGGGGCTCTTCTTTGAATAATTTCACTCCTCCTTCATATTCTTCCCATCTCTTTCCTGCTGAGATTTATTTAATCCTACTTGGGAAAGCAAACTGATCAAGATGGGAGTTATTTCAGCATCTGTTGATGCTGAATCATGACTTCATTTCTCCCGTCGTTTTTACTCTTGAGGATTTAGCAATTCCCTCCAAGACTCTCAACTTCTCTTGTCTTCTGTTAATTAAAAACCAGCTAGGATTGCCTGCTAATTGCACACTGGTTTAACAAAGCCTGGCCTGTTGCTGTGTTTATTTTAAGTGTCAGATGAATAGGCAGCAGCAGGTTTTACTGGCACTTCTCTTTAAGTGTGCGGTTTTTGCATGTACTGTGCTGAGCTGGGAAAAAGGTCTCAATAGAAATATTTCAAAGAATATTCTTATGTTTCAAATCTTGCATAACACTGATAGATTTTAAATACCAACAAAAGAAAACCAGCATGGCCACTGTGACCATGCCACAAGCTTGTTCCAGTTTGTCCTAGCAAGGGATGGTGAGTCCCCACAGCTGGGGGCATCCAGCTGCTTGGGCAGCTCAGCCAAGCTGCACCTTCAAAACCCATCTGAAGACATCACTGTCTAATTTTCAGCATCTTAGAACAGCTGTAGGAGTCACATGGCTTATTCCTATTCATTACACAACATACCCCTCACCTATTGTGCATTAAAAAACCAAACCAAAACATCAGCTTTCTGTAAATACAGTGTTATATTTTTTTTCCCTGCAGCCTCCTCAGCATCTCTCCATGGAAATTCAGTGTCTGCCTCAGTGACCCCTAGTGGGATGTCACAGCGACAGAGCAGCAGCAGTCACAGCACTTCCCAAAGCGCTCCGCTGTCCTTTGCCAAGCACGAGTCCATCAGACACGTTTGGTTTCGGTCATATATAGAATTCCTGCTCCTCGTCCGCTGCTGGCGGTGCCGGTGCTGGCGGGGGGCAGCCCGGGGCTCCGTGCGGGGTTCTGTCCCTGCAGCTCGGGGCTCTGTCCGTCCGGGCCGGGGCTCCGTGCGCGGTTCCGTCGCTCCGGGCCGGGGCTCGCAGCGCCGGGCCGGGCAGGGCATTGCCGGTGCCGGCTCCCGGGTCTGTCAGCGACCGGAGGCTGCTCCGCAGGGCCCCGGGGAACAGGCTCAGCGGGCAGCGGCCGCTCTCAGGGCCCCGCACGGCCAGCCCGGTGTCCACGTCGGTCTCGGTTCCCCGCGGCGCCCGGCCCGGCCGCCCGCGCAGCCACAGCGCTGCCCAGCCCTGCTGCGGGGCGGCCACACCGGGGGCAGAGCGCAGGGGCCTCCGGAGGGCACTGCCCGCCCGCTCGGAGCCCAGGGATGCTTCACCGGGGGCACATTCGGTTTTACCCCTCGGAGCTGCGGCCTCCCGGCTCCTCCGCCCAGGATCGCCCTGTTTTACAGCGAGAGCGGCTGGCACACTGTCCTGCGGGATTCTTCCACTGCCTGTGTTACCATGCTGCTGGGAAAGCCCGATGTTTGTCTCGAGGGTCCTGGAGCTGCTTTGAACCTGTTGAAAATTAGAAAGAAGCCTGTTATCACACATTTCTAGCTTGACTAACGATGATGCTCTCTTTCAGCCTCGCTGTGCTGGGGTCACCTGCAGCCTGAGTCAGTCACCGGGGGAACTCCCTGCCGAAGGAAGCTGTGGGTACAAAAAATCCACATGCACTCCAGGGAAACCTCGATAAACACTGGGAAAGGACAGCCACGGCCAGTTACCACAAGGGGCTTCAGAGGGCAGTGACAACTCCATGTGGAGTCTATGAGCAGAGCCTGGGATTCAGTTTGCAATAGGGCAGGAGGTCAGGCCAGGGGGTAAATGCAGGTGCTCAAAAGAAAGATTTACAGTATGGGCTGAAGAGTTGCAGAGTAAAGCACTGGGCTGTCAGCCTGCTGTCTGGAGCTTGGACACAAGATACACCCTCAAGTTCAAGTGGATTACACCTTCCTTTGCGAGCAGCACAGTGCAGCACGGTCACATCCCCAAAAAAGCTTCCAATTTTCCTGCCAGTGAATTTGTGTACATCTGTCAGCTCAAAGACCTTGTACCTACAGCAGGAAGAGCCACAGAGTAATTTAGGAAGGGACCTCTGGAGGTCACCTGGCCCAGTGCCCTGCTTCAAAGATATGTGAAGATACCCAGGGCCTTGACCACTCCAAGAGGGTGAAAACCACTTTATAAATTGATATTGAATGAGGCAGCAAGGGCTGCCCTAAGATTAGTGTTCAGAGCAGCACAAAAATAGGCTGAACCAAGCAATTAATTTTAACAGAGAACTTCTGGGAGGAAAAAGACAGGTCAAACAATTTAAAATCCAAATTACAAGAAAAATAACCAGAGGTGGGAGGGGTTATTAGAATGGAAAGAAAGCCAAACTTCTATTCTACTCACATATGTAATTTTCACTACATATGATCTCAGCACAGACTTTGTCTTTTTCTTTTTTTTTTTTTTTTTTTAATTTTTATTCATATAACCTCTGGACTGCACACTTCAAAAGAAAGGCAGAGATTTCCTAGGACACATCTCCTTGTCACAGCACTTTTGCCCGACTGCAACTCACTTGTGAGCTCACAACCTTAATTGCAGGCAGTGCTGTATCAACATTACACTTACAAAACTTCTGGTTTTGGATGCCAAAAATCTACTTTGAAAAACATTTATACAGCAATGACTTATCAGAAAAAGATTAGGCTGCTACAATCATTTTTTTGAGGCAGAGGAGGGAAGATGTTAAGCTAGTGTGCCCTAGAAAACATCAATAATCTGCATTTCAGGCAAGCAGTAATGATGTTAATTTAACTGTATAAAAACATTCCAAGGATCAGTGCTTATATTTATCAACAGCATCGCAGCACCGGCAGGCACCGATTACTGCATTCACAAATCCAAAACAAAATGAACATGAACAAACAAAATCGTTATTTCCATTTTGAACTAGCCCTGCTTCCCTTGGAAACAAGTGGATAAAAGAGCCCCACAGACACATACCTTGAGCAGAATTGTGTTTCCTTCATAGTCCTGCGTTTGCCACCTGGAGCTGCTGATGGGCACGCAGGGGTTGGGCAGCAGGGGCACCAGCTGCCCGATCTCCTGCACCTTGAACTGCAGGGCCGCCGACTCGGGGGGCTCGGCCGTCACCCCGATGGGCAGCTGCCTCAGGCACAGCTGCACGGCCGCGTGTGGGCCGGAGTGCAGCACAAACACACACAGGGTGCCCTTCTGCACGCTGCCTTCCCTCCGCAGGATCAGCTTGTACAGCCTCACCGCGTCCTCGAAGTTGTCGAAGCTGCAGTGCAGGGTGACGCGCAGGATCTCCGGGCCCTGGCGCACCCGCCTGATGCCCCACACGGGCAGCTGCTCCTCCAGCCCATAGAATTCCTGCTGGGACAGGGCACAGCGGGAATTGGCAAACTGGGCACGCTGGCAGCGCCAGGGAGGGCGCTGGAACTGCTCGTGCACCTGGAAGATCCGCTCTTCTCCCAAGTCCTCGTGCAGGAAAAGGAGGATGGAGATCCCAGGAAAGCTGCAGCTCCTCCTGCGGTATCTCTCGTAGTATCTCAGCGGAGGAACTCGCTCGGACACCAGGAAAAGGCGAATGTCCAGGCAGAGCCACTCCAGGAGTCGATCCAGAGTTTGCTGCAGAGGGATTGAGCGTCCCAAATGGGTGAGGAGATGCACGGTCATCAGAGACTCTGCTCCATCATCCATCGCAAACACTCTGGGCAAAAAATCAAACCAGACAAATTGGTGCCTTCCTTTTACTCTGCCTCGGGAATTGTACTCTGAGCCTTGAAGAGAATGAGCCTGGACTCCCACAGGCTTTGCAGTAACCAGATGAAACACGTGGGTGAGCACAGTGTGCCCCAGAGGGGCCGGGGCAGAGTGACAAGGCTTGAAGCGAGCGGTCCCAGGTCACATCCCAGCGGAGCTCGGAGCTCGGCTCAAGGCTCACTCCCAGCTCTGGAGCTCTGGGCACTGAGTACCTGCGGCCCAGGTGTCCAGGAGCAGCGCTGCATCCTCCTGCCATTCATAACACAGGACAGCAGAGTCACCAGCAGCGATTTCCCAGGGTGAGGTGATGCTCACTTGTCTCCCGGCAGTGGAAGTGGCCGCTCCGGACCCAGCCCAGTCCCACCGGTGCAATCACTGCCTTTTGCAAAGCCCATGTGGCACTCATGGCTGAAACGCTCAGCAAATTTCCTTGTAGTCAGCAGGCTGGCTCTGGCTCATTGTAAAAGCCTGTGATCTCTGAGTCCCACCCTTCTGGGGCACACAGATAAGCTGTTCTTTGAAAACAAGGAAGGAAAACAAAATAACAAAAGAAAAAACCCAACCGTGTGAACATAACAGATAACAATAAGGGCAGATATAAATCAGGAAAGAGGAGCTTTGGGAAAAAGCCTCCATTCCCAGTTACACCCTTCACAGCACAGGTAACTTCCTGCCTAACTGGAAACCAGGTCCTGGGTTACTGTACATAGCCCATAAAAGCTGGGTACCAGGCTTCCCATTCTCAGTGCCCTCTTTGCTTCTTTTTCCTCCTTTACTTTTTTTTCCCCGAGATACCCATGTAATCAGCAGCCTTAATCCAAGTCCAAGGGTTTTTTTCTTGCTCCTTGGGTTTACATATTGGTTGGTAATTACCTTACTGCATAAGCTGCAATAGGAATGCTGAAAATACACTGCTTTCCAGCTCTCTTCTAGTGTGGACAATAAATCACACTGTCCCTTCATCCATTTGCCAGCCCAGCAGCAGCACAATACAGGTCAGGCCAAACCCACTTCCTGTGCAGAGCTGCCCCCACTGTAGCCAGCATTTCAATCAAACCTGGGGCCTCTGGTGATTTGTGCAGCCCCATCTAATTAAAGGCAGCACATCTCTCTCTGCTGACATGCCAACTTCCCTCCAAACAGCCAAGCACACAAAGCAGTGGTTCACTGTTAAGAAATCCCAGCATCAATAAGTCTGTTATTCAAAATTCTGAAAATTCAGAACTATTTTTTTTAATATGACCCTAACTTTATATTCAACTAAGTAAAATCTCCAAGGTCTAAAGGTATAACCAGCAGTGCCTTGGTTTGCTTTAGGGAGATCTCTCCCACTGGTAGAAACATACATTCATGCTTTAAAAGCTACACTGACACCTATGTACAATAAAAATTTAAAAAGACTGTCTAGAAAATGAGGAAAAGGATTCTTTTGCACCCACCTGCAAGACTTCGAGCAAGTAACTGCTGTTGGGAGGGAGACAAAAACAAAATCCAGCCTTCAGACAATTGCAGGAAGAGAGTGAAGAGTGCAAGTGCTGAAAACATTCAAATGCTCTAGATGAGCTCTGAACAACACAATTTCACTAAAATATGGAAAAGGAAATGATTCATCAACTCCTTGCTACAGGGCAGGGGCAGGCAGTCATCTGCCTTCCTGCCTGTGAAGAGCAGGGGAATTTGCCTGTACAGGAAAACACTGAAACACAAAAAAACCCTGAAGAAAGTCAATTCATCAGGCCTTGGGTTGTGGCTGGAAGCTGCTCCCGTGAGCAGGGTCCCCCATTCCCAGCCCAGGTGAAGATCCTTGGGCTGCCACAGCCCCACAGCCCCCTCTCTGGGAGCAGGACTCCCACTCCTGCCCTGCAAGCTGCTCCCACTCGGGGCACTGAGGAGGAGCAAGGGCAGGCTCTCCTTGTGCAGAGCCATCACTGCTGCCTGGGCAGCTCTCAGCCCCAGCCCTGCTCCAGCCTGCTGGGTAAAACCTGGTGGGCAGCTGCAGCTCTGGGGTGAAGGTGACAGAGGACTGGGGATGAGAATTCTTGCAGAGCAAGGGGAGAACAAGGGCTGATTAGGGAATGATGCAGAAACCTCGGCTCTCTCCAGCTCCTGCTGTGGTCAGGGGGAGCCAAATTGTTTTCCAGATGGGTAAGTGCCTCCCACAGAGGCTGCTGAAGGCATGCAGCATCTCTCCTGTTCTCCCAGCAGCCAAAAACCTGAGCCTTACTCACAAAAAGGGCTAAATCCTGAATCCTTCACCATGTGTTTCTGCTGTGCTTGCAGGGGTGACACAGGGAAACAATCTCAGCTCTGAAATGAAGCTGTGTGCAGAACAGTTTTAGGGCTGGTTCTCAGCTCCCCAGCAGCTCTGGGTCAGGAGCACCCACCAATCCTCCTGCAAGGAGCATGGGAGTGAAGCTCAGCCTTTGTTTGACTCTGTTCCTCAGAGGAGGGCAGCCCCACCACCCAGCTGAACCTTCCTGTTCTCTTCCCCTTGCTCTGACAACTCAATATCCTTGGGGAAGGGCCCAAACCAGGCTCCTCAGCCTCAGACAAGGGTATCCTCATGCCCTCCCTTTGTGTCCAATGTACTGCCCCCAAACCTTGGGACACAGCCTGGGTGCAGCAGCCCTCCCTGCTGCAGCTGCTGAGCTAAGAGCCTTCATCCACTGCTGGGCTCAGGGGAACAGGGAAGGCTGCCACCAGAACAGTGCTGGCTTTTCCTGGGTCATCTAAGAAAAGCAAAGTGCTGATTTCACTCTGATCCTGAATGGAATGAGTCCTTGCCTTCCTCTCTGCCTCCCCTTCCCCCAGCTTCCCAGTCTGGCTGCCAAAGAGAAAAGCACATTTTTCACAGTGACCTACTGAACGTGCCGAGAAAGATCTCTTCAAGAGATTAGAAAAATAGCAGTTCAATGGTATGTGAAAAGTGGCTTTGCTGAGGGGAGGAGGGGTGAACAATTCTGATATGGGACTCAAAAAAATCAGGGCCCCATTCCCACCTGGCAGTGACTGGTAACACAGCAGAACATAGAGGAAGCTGTGGGGCACTCCAGCTGTGTTTAAGAGCAGGACAAATATGAACTGGCACTAATGCACACACTGGTAAGCTCTGCACAAATTAAGGTCCAAACATAAACAACTAATAAACACTTTATGGTATGAAACCTCAGAGAATACTGCCTGCTGGAAGTCTAAAATTCTACAGTGGAAAGGCTTTTAATTAATTTAATTAAAAATTCCTTTTCATAATCAATTCCTGAGTTGTGTCTAGTCCTCTGCACTGTTCCAAAGGGCAAAGAGCCCTTTGCTCCAGCTGACACCACCAAAACTGATGATGCATCACAGGATTTAATAAGTTCAGAGCAACATCTGTAAGGAAGGTACTTTACAAAGATTATTAGAACATAATTAACTGGAGAGAGACTGAGTATGTATTACCTAAGCACCTCGGGAGAAGGCCTCATTAAATACATGACTCAGGCTTCCTAATTTCTTTTAAAAACTTTTTTTGTTTTACACCAATCTCAAGCTCTGCCTATAACAAGGACAAAACTACTAAATTAACCTGTAGATGACAGTTATACACAGCATACACAGTACTGAGATAAACAAGATTAAGGCCTTACTTGAATACAAAAGTCTGAAAAGAGGTTGTCTCTGGCTTCAAACCCTGTGACTCCAATCCATCACCGCTTTGGAGGAACTAAAGACCCAATGACCAAACGACCAAACACCATCTAACTACTGCATTTATTTAAGTAGACTTCTTTTCCAAGCTGTTCTTATTTCTTCTTTTTAGCCAGCTATCAGAAAGTAGTGATCCAGCAAGGGTCTGTCAGCAGGTGATGCAGGCTTTGGGGCAAGGGGAAAGCAGCACTGAGACACAGAGGTGAGCTTCCCAGTAGTAACAAATGGGCTGCAGAAAGGCACAGCATGGTCTTGGCTAGTTGTCATACTCAACTCACCAGGTTATGTGTCCTCAGCCAGTTACAGGGCACTTGCAGACAGTTCCATTTTAACTCAGTTTTCAGTTTGTCTAAAATACTTTTTAAAAAAGCCGAGACACTCCACGCACCCAAACCAAGACCCACTAAACGTAATGAGCCAATTGGAGGTTATAGCAGAATCAAGTATTTGTAACAAAGATCAGAGGAGGGGTCAGGTTGGAAGGGACCTCATGGGGCATCTGGTCCAACCTCCCTGGGCACCAGTTTTTCTACCATTGCCTCTTGTCCTATTGCTTCATACCACAGAGCACAGCCTGGTCCATTCTCTCGACACCTTCCCTTCAGTCCCTTGTAGACATTGATGTGATCCTCTCTCAGCCTTCCTGAGACTGAACAAGCCCAACTCTCTCAGCTTTTCCTGTGGTGTCTTGCCTTTGAAGAGCCAGCATTTAGCACTGACCCGAGATGGCATCTCCAGGATCCCTCTGCCACATCCCCAGTGTCACCCTTACACAGGTCAGAGTGGGACAAGGGGGAGGTCAGCTTGCTACATATGAATTTAAGTGCCAAGCTCCAGGGACTCCTTTCTGAAAGATTTAATGTTTATATACATTACGGCTCAATTAAAAATCTTCCAGCAAAAGAACACCGGCAGATCTGAACAAACCAAGACTTGCAGGGCCCAGTGAAGTGTTTGTTTAACCAGCTCACATTTGGCATTGTGGAAGGGCACTCAGAGCAGGATTCTTGGAAGGCCAGCAGCAGCCCGGGTGTGACTGCTCCCTGCCGAGTGCTAATAAGAGCCAGTCCCCAGGAGGTGCTGACCCCGCCTGCCAGGCCAGCTCAAGGAACAACACAGACCCACGCACTGTGAAGGCTTCTAATTACTCCCTTTCTTGAAGACAGCCTTCCTGAGATACAGAATAATACACCCAAACTTCTAATTAAAAGAGCCTTGGCCTGGATCCCACATTATTCTGGAATTGCAGATTTGCATAATTAAGTTGATACCAAATGCTGTGACAGACATG